AGAGGTTGAAAAGGCTTTAGCGACAGTGAATCAGTTATATGTTCGTTGGAAAGAATTACAAGATAACACATTAAGTAAAGAAGAATTAACATGGACAGCTACAGAAATAAATAACAATATTCGTAGTATAGAATGGGATCTTGAAGATTTGACGGAAACTATTTCAGTTGTTGAATCAAATCCATCTAAATTTAATCTTTCCGCAACAGATATTGAGCAGAGACAACATTTTATAAGTATAACAAAAAGCAGTATCAATACAATGAAAGATATTATTTCTCTACAAAGTAAAGGAAAATCTGAAAAGGAATCTAGGAATGTAAGTATTTGATCCTAATAATGTTCAACTTTTAAAATTATTAAAGCCTCTTCTTATTTCAATGGGTGCATTTTTAAGTCTGCAGTAATCAATATAGATTACAGCACAGTTTATTGCTTAAGATGAAAGATTTATTTTGAGTTAAAGTTTAAATATTAAAAAAAGTTCTTAATCTTTAAATCAGCTATATAATTATACTACTAAAAAAATTAAACATTTTACAATTATTTGAAATCTTTTACAAATATTTTTTGCTTTAAAATTTTAATTCATAGACTCTTATCTTTTTCAAAATTCACCAGACCTACTTGCTCTTTTTAAAAAAATATAGTTTCATCTGTTTTATTTTTTGTATCTCAGAGTTATGATTTAATGACTAAATGTTTTTTATTACCTCTTTAAGGATTCCTTGAGATAAGTTTGAAATGCTTTTTTGAGTAAAATCTTTCTTGTAAAGTTTGACTAAAATCTTCTGTGTAAGTGTAAAGTTGTGAAAAAGTGTACTTTGATATTTGTGATCAATGATAAGAAATTGATTTTCAAAGTATTTTGGTTGTAAGACATTTTGCAAATGAAGCATAATTACTAAGTTTTTAAGGAGATTTATTTCATAAATATTAGGAGCTCCAAGGGTTGAATTAAGTGATCGCGATATGCAAAATCTGCAAAATATCTGATCTTCAAAATTATAGTTTATGCAAAGCCGTGTACTTTGTTTTCAAGGAGAAAATTATTATGTTTTTTAGAAAAAAAGTAATAAAAACAAAACAAAACTTATGACTACAAAAGTAATAATACTCTAGTAACTACTTAGAGTATTAACTGCATTAAAAAAGTAATATAACAATAATAGTGTTATTACTTTTATAAAGCACTTAAAACTTTTAAAGTTTTTTCTTTGTTCAAACAACATTAGTAATTCCAAACTTTATTTGAAGTAAAAAGCATCTAGAAAAAATAAAGTGGATATTCAAATAATATTTAAAATTTATTAAAAAACTTAAACAACTTTATAAAAATTTACTGTATAAAAAGTTTAGCATTATGAAAAGCGTTACTAATAGTCAGTAAAAACGTGCGTTAATTTTAAAACCAAACAATAAAAAGTTTTTATTGGTTATTTATAAATGGTTATAATGCAGTATTTATAATTGGTTATAATGCAGTTAGTTACTAGAGTGTTATTACTTTTGTAGTTGTAAGTTTATTGTTTTATTTTTTATAAATTTTTTGCTAACAAATTTAAATTGATTCGCTCCTTAAAAACAAAGAACATGGTTTTGCATAAACTGAAATTTAGAAGACCAGATATTTTTCCAGATTTTGAATTTTGTGATTGCTTAATTCAACCCTTGGAGGTCCAATTTCCCTGAATAATGGTTTGGCATGTGCATATCTTTTGATATTACATACTATTCAACAATTTTGCTTTATATATTTTCAGCAACTTTTCTATGCTCTTAGTAACTTTCATGATCATCAACATTCATTTGCAACAATCATTAGGGAAAAGTTTTCAAAAATGTACAAAAGCTTAACTTGATTGACAGGTGTTAATTACACAAAAAAACAACTAAAATAAGAAAAATATTCTTAAAGAAAAAAAAACTTAACTAAAACAAAATGAATTACATTTAGAATTAATAATACCTAAACTTTGCTCTTTTATATATATTTTTTTAATTACGCAGCACTCTTTTATTTAAAGTAAACTTGTTATTAATGATCATTCGATAAAGAAACAATCGTTTTTCAATTTATCAAGTAAATTATATTTATAATATAATTTTTATTTATTTATGTTCCTTTATTTTATCTTAACAAAAGTTTTATTTTAACAAGATTTTAAAAAAACTAATGCTAGTTGAATTATTTAATAAATAAAAAAGTCAATGTTTTTTATAACCATTTTGTTCTTTGCATAGTTTGCAAAGTTTTAAATATCTGAAACAATTCTTCTTATTAAGATGAACAAAAGTAATTATTAAATTGTTAAGTTACTATAGATATATTATAATGATCTTTTCTATTGGCAGTGTCTTTAAAATGTTTAAAAAATTTGCAATGTGTCAGACCTGAATCTTTAATAATCATTATCCAAACTGCAGACTATATATTCATTTAATAAATTTACATTTTACTTAGGTTCGTAGTTTTATTCTACTATAATATATATTATAAATTAATAAATAGGGGGCATATTGCATAAGTGAATCATAATTTGATTATATATTTTTCAAACTAGCAGCAAGTTTTTATTACATCAAGATATTTGAAAGCAAACTTTTATGATTAAGCAAAAAAAGTAAAAATAAATTATGAAAAAGAAGTGGAACTGCTTCTTAATACTGCTGATGATGTCAATTTATATATTTGTACAGGGCTCAATTTAATTTTTGATTATGCCCCAGACAAAATGTTCGATCAAAACTTGTTTGGGTTGAACAGTGTCCAATATAATTTTTTATGGTTTTATGGAAATAAGTTATACAATCAAAATCTTTGTCATGTTATTTAGTTTATTTATTTAGTCTAGTGAAGCTGTAGTTTTTTTCCTTATTATTTAAAATATTTCATCGCAGGTTTTTGTTTTTTAATAAAATAGTTTCAATTTAATATTGTATGTTTTTTTAGAAAGACTTAAATTTTCATGCTGTAACTGACAATGCTTTTTTTCTTTACAATTTGTCGACAGCTGTTGAGATGTTTTAACAATTTAAGTGCAATAATAAAATCATTACGTTATGAATAACTTTTAATCATTTTATTCAATCATCTTTTTTAAAGTTTTTATTTTACGTAAAGACTTTAAATAAAATCAAAAAGTCATTATAATGATCATTTAAAATAAACGTATTATGTGTAAATTAAATATTATATTTAAATTTTTTTAGTAGGTATGAATTTTTTATGATTAATTTAAACATTTAAATTATTATTATTATTTTTTTTAAAAGTCTTTTAAAAGATTATTTTTTTAAGTTACTTTAAATTATGAATAAGTTAAATTAAATCTTCCCCTGATTTAATTGCTTTTTTTTTTTGTTTCTATTTTTACAAAGAATTGTTTAAATTTTTTTTTTTTTTTTTTTAATTTGACTTTCTAATTAAAGCATGAAATTATTGAAAATTACGATTTCAAAAAGACTACGTTATTTTTTTATACAATTTTTTTTTTGCAACTTTTTAAAAAAATGTTTATACAACTTAAAATTTTTTTTTTTTTTTTTCAATAATTTAATTTCACTTTTCAATAATTTCAATAAAATTTTATATTTAATAAACAATCAATAGAAGTTTTTTGTAAAAATGTTTTGCATAACTTTAATAAAACTTTTTAAAAGATAAGTTTTAAAGTAATTTTTTTCAAATCCAATTAAAAACGTAAAAAAAAGTAATTTTAACTTCAAGTTTTTTTAGTTTTACTTTAAAGCTAATTTATTTTCATTTTCCTTAGGAATTGTTTTGCTTATTTTTTAATTTTTTCAATTTTTTTGTTTGTTTAAGTATACCTTAACATTTCTTTTTTCAGCACATTTCTGAAACATTTAAATCATCAAAACATCTAAACAGTTGTGGTCAAGTTGTAAACAAAAAAATCATTTGCGTGGTCAGCAATAGCGTTTGATCACACGCCATTCCTGTCCAAGCTTTATTTTCTAGAATTTAATTCCCGTTGGTCGAAATGTCTGATTACTTTGTAAATTGATCAGACAATCTGAGGTTTTAGCCGGACATTGTCCAATGTCCGACTGTTAAATTGAGTCCTGTTTGTATGTTTGTGGTCTGTATGGATCTCTAGGGCAGTGATGGTTTACTCGTAAGTCACTTTATATAAATTTATGTTTGTGTTTTGTTCAAACCTTTAGTTCGGTGTTCATCCACTCATAGTTTATTATGAATATATGTATGTTTGTATTGTTTATGTATGTTTATTTCATTATTAACTTAAATGATTATTTATAAAATTTTATTAAAAATTTGATTATTGTTAAAGTATTGTTTTTATAAAATTAATCATACAAATTGTTTTAAGAGATTTAATTTTATCATAAAAAATACATTTTTTTTTTTTTTAAAATTATCTTCGCTTCCAACAAGGTTGCAAGCAACCACTAATTAGTGTTGGAAGTTACTGGAAGAGATAAGATGAAGGTTGTAGAGCAAGATAACAATTGACAGATGACTTAAAATATTGCATATTATATGAATCAGGAAAGCAAGATGAAGGAAGCGAATTCCAAAGAACTGATGTTCGAGGAAAAAAACTAGATGAATAAGATTTTTTGGAGCACTTAGGAACAGTAACAGAAAAAGGATAAGACATAATTGAATGACGAGTAACACGAGAATGAATTTTAGTAAATGGCACAAGAGACGCTAGCTCTTCAGAGCAGTGCCCATTATAGTATTTGTAGAAAAGAGAAAGAGAAGCAACATTACGACGATGTGACAGAGGTTGAAGGTTGGCTGCAAGAGCAGGTCCAACTATGTTTACAATGCATTTTTGCACCTTGTCTAAAAGAGAAAGGGCATCATTAGAAGATCCGCCCCAGATATGGCAACAGTATTCCATACAAGGCCGGATTTGAGATTTATAGAGATAGAGAATTGAATCCAGAGTAAGAAAGTGACGAGCTCGATAAAGAGAAGCAACTTTAGCAGATGCTAATTTTGCAACGGATTTGATATAAGGTTTCCAAGAAAGATCAGAAGTAAGAGTTAATCCTAGAAGATGAAGGGTAGGAGACTCATCGAGTACATTACCGTTCATAAATATAGGAAGGTCTAAATTATTGCGATAACGATTGGCCAAAAAAAATTGAGTTTTATCTGAATTAAAGTTCACCAGCCACTGCAAGCCCCATGCTGTAGCAGAAGTGAGATCCTTTCGAGCTCAGATGCCCCCTGCAAGCAATCAGAGGGAGTTGGCTTCTTATCGTGACAAGAATAAATGGTAATATCATCAGCGAACAATACCACATTAGATGTGAGAATATCTGGAAGATCGTTAATGTAAATTAAAAAGAGTATAGGGCCTAGGATTGAACCTTGGGGAACCCCTGAGGTTACAGAATAAGAAGAAGAGTGCTGTCCATCAAGGACAACTTTTATACTACGATTGGAAACGAAAGATTCAATAATCTTAAAGATGTTTCCAGATACACCATAAGAAGAAAGCTTATGGAGGAGACCAGCATGCCAAACTTTATCAAACGCTTTAGAAATGTCAAGAGCAATGGCCTTAACCTCTCCACCTTTATCTAATGCGCGATAAAACCTATTGGTTATTACTGATAGCAAATCAGCCGTAGAACGAGAAGATCGAAATTCATACTGATGATCAGAAAGTAGGTTATGAGATTCGAGATGAGAGATTAAGTGTTTGTTAATTAAAGATTCAAAAACCTTGCTTATGATAGGAAGAAGACTAATGGGACAGTAGTTAGATGAGTCAGATCGCTCTCCAGAAATTTTAAAAATAGGAATAACATGCTGCTTTCCAGCAGGCTGGAAAACAAGACTCTGATAAGCACTTGTTGAATAGTTTTGAAAAGATAGACGACAGCTCAGGAGAACACTTCTGCAAGACTATAACAGGTATGTTGTCTGGGCCGCAAGCTGTAGAAGAGTCTAAGCGGGAAATCACTTTAGATACAGAAGCTGGAGTGATACGAATGTCGAGCAATGGATCAACCTGTTTGACGGGTATATCAGGTAAAACGCAACTAGTGGCATCAAGAGATGATATTGATGAAAAGTTCTTGGCAAACAATTCAGCTTTGTCTTTAGGTGAGGTGACAAAGTCTGAACCGTACAAAAGAGGTGGAATTACAGACTTGCCCTTATTATTGATACTATTAAAGATTCTCCAGAAGTCACGAGAGCCTAATTTTTGTAATGAAATACGAGATTTCATGATCTGAGAATAGTGGGTTTTGGCGTTAGACAAAACCTTTTTACAATGGTTCCTAGCAGTAATAAAGAGACATCTGTTTTCTGGAGAATTGTTTTGCTGATAGATATGGAAGTAATGGTTTAGATTGGCAATTGCAGCAGCACAATGTGAGGAAAACCATGGAGAAGAGTGAGGCTTGACCTGGAATTGTCGAGAGGGAATAAAGGATTCCATGCCAGCCTGAATCCATGAAGTTATGTAAGAAGCACATTTGTCATCAGGGAGACGAAAGATTTCTACCCAGGGGCCATCACGAAGAAAGTCACGAAAAGAGTCCCAGTCAGCTTTAAGGTAGTTGTAAGATGTACGATGATAGGGGGATTCTAATGGTAAAGAAGAATGAGATAATAGTTTTAGAGAGACCAAACCATGATCAGACGCACCTAAGGGTGAGTGTGAAGAAACTGAACACTGACTAGGATCAGAAACAAGACATAAGTTGAGTAGAGAAGGTAAATGATTCGGGTTGTCTGGAAAGCGAGTTGGAAAGTTGACTATTTGAGTTAGGGATTGAGAAAGACAAAAGTTGTGGGCCTTAATGCCTGCAGAGTCACTGACACTAGAGCCAAGCCATTCAGTGTGATGAACATTAAAGTCACCGACAACAACAATATTGGCTGATGGATGAGGGAGAGCGATATAGAACAAAGAGAAAGGTACTCAGTACACTGTTCTATAGCTCAAGCAATTGCCTCATTTCCACTAATAAACCCTAAGCCGTAACAAAGGGCTCCAATATGGCCTTGGCAATGCACACCAAAAGTACAAACAGGGACACCATTCATGCGCAACATGGCACTGTTAGTACTCTGATATTTTTCAGCTGTTGATGGAATCAGCCTCTCTGAGAGCTACCACAGAGTTCGGGAAACCTGACTACCAGCCGGCCTCAGAACCATAAAACTGAGTTTTAGAGCTGTACCCTCATTTGGAGATAATAGAATGAGTTGCCTAGTCATAAAAACAGAGACACAAGCAAAACCCATGAATCGAGTCAAGAAGATCCAGTGTTCAACATCCTAAACTGGAAACAATGTATTAAAAATATATCTGCGCCAGCCTAACTTTTTAAATAAAGAATTAATATATATTCATATAGTTTACTAAACTTTATATAAATTTTGATAAACTTACTCAATTTTATATAATTAAAAAATATATATTTTTTCTTTTTATAAACAATCAATAAAATTGTTTTGTTTAGAAGCATTTTGCAAGTATAAAAAGATTTGATTATAAAAGATTAATGTTACAGAGTTAAAACTTGTTGAAACCAAATTTTCCAGATATACATGGAAACATACATGAATTTTAATGTTCTCAAAACATTCAAAAAGCTGTGGACTAAATAATAAATACGTGGTCAGTAATAGAGTGCAATCGCACCCACTTCCTGACCAAGCCTGATAATAGAAAAGGATAGTTAGATAACTCTTTTGTCTTGCTAAGATGAGGTTCCACACTAAGTTCCAGACCTGCAGTAGCGCTATTACTCCTATGTAAAGTGACTATAAGCACTAGCTATTACAAACTAATGTGTAAGGGAACTATTAGCACTACCTGTTTGTATTGTAAGTTTGAACCCAGACAATCTAAATCACTACTTCTTTGCTTCTTGATTTGTTAAAGTATTCAATGATAAAATGTATTCTTAAAATGCATTGTACTCAACTGTTATAAATACGCTTTTAAAAAATTCAAAGCAATAAAAAATTAAAGTATTTAGCATTATAATGTTTTAGATCTTTAGACTGTTAATTTTTAAATTGGTATTTAGTTAAAAATGCAGCCATTTTATTTCCTGCTGAAACCATGAATGTTAATTTATTTTGATAACAAATTACTAGCAGTGTTTTTTATGGTTTATTATAAACAACTATATTATGAAAAATTTTAAATATATTTTTTTATAGTTTTGTTTATCACTAATTAGTTTTCCTTTAGAAATTTATTTAAATTTTATTTACTTTTTTTTTTTTTTTTAAGTTTTCATTAAGCATTAAGAAACTTTATAAGCTAGTTAACTTAAAGTACTCAATTGACATTAGAATGTTTTTGGTTTTTATGTAGGCATTACTCACAAAAAACAGTTACAATAATAAGTATGCTCGTTTGGACAATGAAATTGAACAATCAAATCAAAGATTTATTGATGACCAGTTTCAGCAGCAACAGGTTTAAATATTTTTTTACTTTATTGTTACTAATAGTTTTTTAATAGTTATTTTTTTTTACGTCATATTGTTTCTCTTCTTCTTCTCAAAAGGAAAGAAAATATAATTAATCTCCATAACTATAGCTTCAAAAAATTATATCAGTATATTTTGCTGCAAAATAGATCTGACTGACTGATTTGACTGATTTTTTTTATAGCCCAAAAACTTTATTCAGCTTCTAACAAAAGTTATATTTAAAGCCAAATGTTGAGATACCTATAAATCAGCCAGATAATAAATATACCAATAAACCGCTCATCATATAAAGATTAAGCATGAAATTGTACTCACATAAAGGTTCAACAACAAATGGTCCTCTATAGTTCCCATTTTGTATAGCAAAAGTTGCTTACTGCATAGTTGATTTTTTATAATATTTATTATTTATATTTAAAAGAAACTGAGAACAAATATTAAAAGTGCAATTAACTAATTCTTAACCAGCGCTCTAACTTACAAGTTGCTGTTGCATAATATATATTTAAATTAAACCAATTGATAACCAACATCTTAATTGATCGAACAAAAGTTACACATGCTCAGTTAGATCATTATCACATGCATACTTAGGTAAGACAAGTAGTTGTAATATATTAACGCAGCGCACTGATATATTATTTAAAGTAGATGTCTAATTTGCGGGATTTTATTGGACAAAAAATGAAGCTGCTTATTTTTGTTTATAAATGTAGTCTGCCATTTGTAAAAAGGGCAAAAGCTGGAGCCGATGTGCCGCATAAAAGTTAAAAATGCAAGTCAAAAGTTCCCAATAAATTAAAGATAATTCGAAAACGCATTTTATTAATAATAAAATACTTATACAAGTTTTTTTATGAACCTAAATAAAAACCTAATTAAAAAAATATTATAATTCATAAAAAAGCTTCAAAAGTGTCTGTTGTTTCACTTTTCTATTCAAAACTTTGATCCCTTCTAATTGAAAATAAATTTAAAAATTATAAATTATTATTTTACAAGTATTCTAATTTCCTTTTAACACTTTTACATAAATTGTATTTATATTTAAAATGTATTTACTTTATTTAAGAAAAGTTAAATTATATTTGTTCATAAATATATTACTTAATAAATAATATTTCTAAACAAAGTACAAACAAGAATTTTAATAACTTTTATGTCATTAGGCAGATCAACTATAAGATGCAGCTAAAAGCTTTGAGTTTTTTTTTTCAACTTTTATAGGTTGCTTTGTTAGCATTAGCAGATAAGCAATTAAATTTTTTTAGCATTAGCTGATATATTTTCCAGAGTTCTGAGCTCACTGTCACTTTAAAAATCATGCATTTTTTTGTTGCTAATGTAACACAAAATAGAAGGATGTATTGATGCTGCATTTTAATTCAAAAAAGTATATTTACCAATTTCATATCAAAAGCACAAAATGTGCATTAACCTTTCTCATTAATCATTAACCTTCAAAATAAAATTTCCTCAAGAATTGAATGAGATTCTGCCACATTTTCTGTTAAGCAAATAGTAAATAATGTTTATGTTTCCATCTTTGTATTTTTCATTGCCTAAATATTTTGCATAGCAAAATAAATATATATAATATATAAGACATATATATAATATTTAAACAAACTTTTAGAAATCTGCTTTCAACATGAAAGTTCATAACATATTTCTAAATATGTTATGAATTTTGGGGTCCTGCCTATTACCAAGTACACAAAGTTTTTTAAATATATTAATTTACAAAATAGGGCTTTTTTAATAGGAAAAAACACTTTTTTAGAGCTTTTCAATTGTTCAATGGGAAATGCTTTACCTTTGATTTAAATTCCTCTGCAAATTTACTTTTAATACTTTCAAGCATTGAATTTTGCCACTTCATGTATTTTAACATAAAGAGAAATTTACGTCAAAGTTTTTAGTTTTTATATTTCAGATATTTTATATAAATTTCTAAATTTTAAGTTTGAAATATTAAATCACAAATGAAAGGTTCACCCTACCTTTATCCAATTCCTCTGTTAAATTTTCTCTTCTCTTTATGAGAGTGCAAGGGTAGGGTGGGGGTAATTTTTGTAAAAAAACCCTGCAGTATTTACATATTTTTGTTTTTACAAGTTATGATACACCTACTCTTTCCGGGTTTTTTCTTTCTCTATTATATGATGTTGGTCATGGCGTTATTGTAGAATTATTTTTTCAAATGTCACAAACACAGAATTGTTTCTGGTAAGAATACTAACTTTGAGTTTTGAGAAATCATACAGCTTACTCAGAATAATGTTTTTCTTTTTTCAAGTCTTTTAAATGCTTTTCTACATTTAGAACAAATGCCATTAGGATGAGATTTGTTGCTTTAATCAAATGATTTTAAGAAGAACTTAAATATTCTGTTCATTGTCCTGATCTTTTTGAAAAACAAATTAAGCAGACTAAGATTCTATTATCTTTGTTAGATTTTTTATTGTTTGTTATTTTAAAACAATCTGAGTAATACTAAACAGTTTATGAAATGTTTTTTTACCTGCTGCAGTTAATAAAAAAGTTCATACTATGTATAAAAAAATTCTTATTATTGGTCAATTCTTATTTCTTGCCATTTTAAAATGTTGGTCACCATTTTAAAATGGCAAGAAATTTTTTTAAAATAAAATAATTTTTCTGATGAATTTCAATCTAGTTTAAGATACTAAAAATTTTTTTTTCTTCTTTCACCTTTGTGATAGCGAGTGGTAAAAAATGTATACCTATGTTTAGTGTTCAAAAGTTATGACAATGTAAAATTTGCAAACACCTCATTTAGGAGAAGATGGAAACTTTACATGGTTATAACTTCCAAACACTAAATAAAATTTAAAACTTTAGTGAAATTTTAGTATAAAAATTTTTTTTTTTTTAGTAGTATCTTTTTAGGATATTTTTGTTCCCTGACTCTAATTACTGCAATTTTTTGCAAAGCATTCTTATTTGACATGAGCATGAATACTTTTTGGAGTTTGCATAAAATGCTTAAAAGAGCAACCCTTAGAATTAGGAAAAATAAGGTCGGCAAAAATTATTTGATACAAAGGTCTAACTAAATCCTATCTATGTTACTGACTTAAACTATGACATTTTGAGGTAAAGACTTATAATATAATAAATAATTCCTCTGTGACATATGGTTATATTTTTTAAATATATGAAAATTCATTTCACCGATTCATTATTAACACATACACACTCACATACACTTTTTTTATTACTCCAATATCGAATAATAAAAAAATCTTTACAACCATTCTTGGGACCTTTCCTGTTTTTCATAATAGCTGATTTTTGAATGCAAGCTAAAACATTTTTTGACAGTTTGATGACTCATAAATATTTTTGTAAGCAATAATCCTCAATTTTTTAAATCTTTAATATTTCAATAGAGTTTTCAAAACAGATAAGATACTTTGCAGGCTTCTATGTTTCAAGATAAATGTTTTTGAAGTAGGCCCCAAATTTAAAAAATATGTAATTTCAGCTTATGGTTTTTAGACAATGGAAGTGTTATCCTCAGTTTTTTTGTCTTACCTAAAAAAAGTATATTGTGGAAGTATAATTCTTACCTATACTTCCACAATACAGTTCTCTTTATATTGTGGAAGTATAAGTCTTACCTATACTTCCACAGTATAAAGAGAAACTTAGGATGCAGTTTTCTCATTGCCTTTAAATTTTGAAAAGCAAATAATGACTTTCCAAAGCGTCAAAAGCATAAAACTTTGACTGACCATAACAAAAAAAAAATTTCAGGCTTCTTTCTTACCCTATTAGCATTACTATATATAAAATTGAGCCTGACTGAAGTATATCACTTTTGAGTCAACAGTACTTTTGCCTGTTTTTAAATAATAGGAATAGAAATAGTAATATTGAAAATGTTCTAAATGTTGCAGTAAACCATTTGTGTAAAAATTAAAGGTTTTAAGTTATTTGTGTATTGTAAAAAATATTAAAAAGATTGCAACCAATCAGGATCGCCGCAGCTCCTCTAAAATCCTCTTAAGTCCTCTTTTTTCAAAAATCTTCTCTAAAATTTTCTAAAAAGTTAAACATGTGATCTAATCTCCTCTTTAACTCCTCTTTTTTTTATTTTTTCATTTCTTCATGGTAGTATAATATTAAAAATACCCATCCTTGGTCTGCAAACTTGGTTAACGCCTAAAAGGGTATTGATTTGTAAAAAATTGGCAAATCCAGCAATTAAAACCAGCAATTACATTGGAAAGATGCAATCAATGCTTGTATTAAATCAACATTAGGCTTATAATAAATAAAATAAATTAATATTGATTTATAAAAAGATAAAAACTTTTTTAAAAATAGAGTTTTCAAAAGCAGCAGATTTAAAAAATTAGAATCTCCTGAAGAAGTCAAATTTAAGCTCTTTATTTATCATGAAGAAGTTCATTTGTGACAATAAACATTACTTTATCTTGGAGAGCAATAAAAAGTTAATTTTATTTAATAATATCTTTTGATTGTTATGATGTTATGATTTTAATTGATTGACTAGTTTTAATTAATTGAATTTTAAGAATCACGACATTAGCTAATTAAATAAAGCCTTAGTACAATTTAGCATAATAAATTACCCAAGATGGTCCACAATATAGTTTCATCATGCTTTTAACTGCACAGTTAAAGATGACCATAGTTACTATGGTTGCTAAGTATTTATTTGTGTTGTATTTATTATGCAAATTATTATCAATTTCATAAATTTTAGTTCTTTATTTTAGTTGCTGTTGACAAATCAAAAAACGCAGCTAGAAAATGTAGGTCAAAGTGTTGGAGTATTAAAAAGCATGGGGAAGCATATAGGAAGTGAACTAGACGAGCAAGCCATGTAATTTTTTTTAAGAATTAAGCAATTTATTTAGTAGATCTCATTCAACAATAGACCTCTTCACAGTTTTAATAATTTCCTGTGCACATGCAGTCGTGTGCAGTAAAATAGTAGTGCGTATTTTATTTTTCTATCAACAATTTTTGAATATCAAAATATATTTTGTTTTTTTATGATATAATTGTTTGTTTTTTATTGTTATTGTTCATAAACTAAATGTTGTGATTATAATAGTATAAAAAAAATTTAAGAAAGATAATTGCAGCACTGTATGGTTTTAAATTTCAATATTATCGATTGAAGGTCATTCGTATTTTTTTTAGACTGTGCAAGAAATAGTAGTGAAATTAATTAATTTTCGAAAAAGGTTCAAGACTTTAATGCTGTAACTTTTGCATACTAAATTATGATAGTATTTTACTTTTCTGGAAAGTTTCAATTCATTTCTATTTTTGAATCATTTTTAATAGCTTTGATGTTATGGCTGCCACTCTCATGGAATTGCCCATATATATATATATATATATATATATATATATATATATATATATATATATATATATATATATATATATATATATATATATATATATATATATATATATATTCTGTATTTATTAATTGTTCTGCAAAAAGTTTTGAAATAGTTTAAGAATTAGGTTTAGATTGTCTTAAAGATCTGGAGCTGGAAGTCTTTCTCTACCAAAGTGTAAATACTTTGAGTAAACGGCCTTTCTTTATAACAAAAGTTCCAACCAACAAACTGAAAATAATATCAGTTTGACTACTGAGTTAATAAACAGTAGCAACTTATAACAATAACAACAAATAGATTTTTGCGAACGTAATATATGGATGGCTCCATAGTATATTGTGACTTATTTTTTGCTGTTAAGTTCTTACCTAAATGTAGATTCTTTTTAAAAAGCCACTTTTCTCAAGCATATTTTGGACTGTGACAGTCATAGACTATGACATAGACTGTGACAAACATGCGACTGTGACAGTCTAGAACACAAGCTGCACTAGAGATTTTTGTATTCTAAAACTATTTGCCTGTCTTGAATTCTCCTCTTTTTCTTTTTCTCTTGTCAACTTTTCCTCTCCATCTTTCACCTTTTGTCAAAAATCCATTTAATACTTTTTTATTTTAGTAATGGTTAGATGGAAAAGTAAATCATTTAAATAAGGCCACTTGAAAACATTGCCCGCAATGCCAATTGAAAACATTGCTCGCATTTTTTCTTTTTAAAGCTCATATACCGAAATTGCAATTCTTGGAGATCATAAGGTTTTTTGTTTATCGAGATTAATATTTTTTTAATTTTGTTTAACAGTGATTACTATATCTTTTTAATCTTCTGATGAGGAAAGTCTTTAAGCCTTAAGTCTCTAATAACTTTTGTTATACATTTGTTCTAATCTACTGTTGACTATAGTTACAGACATGGCCTACTTAAATTGCATGGCCTGATTTGTTGCATTTTACATAAAAAATTAAGAGGCCAGTTTTTTTACGGCTCAAGTATAAAGACTTAATTTTTGCTATGGTTATGAGTCTTGTTTGCACTATTATTGGTTTATTCTTATTTTAATAAAATGGTATAATAATAGTTAGATTTTATTTAAGTACTTACCTTATTTTGTGCTGGATTTTTTGTTAACTGATTGCCTGCTTTAGTTTATTCCAATTACATAAAATACTGAAATAGGCTTTCAGATAGTTATATCAACACATACCAACATGCTACTAAAAATAACCTTATATGTTGCTAAAACTACCCACAACTCTCCATTGGAAATAATTTTAAAGGTTTATACTTTTGTATTTATTATAATTGCAGTTATTAGATATAAAAAATCGATTTTTCTTTGAAATATTTACACTGCAAAACAATGTTTTGAAATGTAAATACTCTATTATGCTGCATGTTTCATATATACAGCAATTAAAATGCAACAAAACAGGCTAAGAAATATCAGGGATACCAACTGTTTTGGAGTCAATATCTGTTAATAAAATTCTTAATTTTTTGATGCCTAATAAATGCTTATCATATTTCACATTTTCATATTTCTTTATTAAAATGGTTTTGCAGTGGTGAAAATTACAAATTTAAAAACTATATTATATTAGAAATATTATTGACAAAAATTTGTTGTTAAGTGATTATCTGCTTCTTGTGGTTAAGATGTACTTCCAAAAAGCAGCTCAATATCAAAGTTGTAAACAATTTGATGAAGATTGAGAAAATAATCTTTATAAAGTTGTTTTTGTTTTTATTTTAAAATCCTCACCAAAAGTTTACATAGCAAGTTTATGTTTGAAAAAAGAAATAGATAAGTGTAATACCTCAATGCACCAATCTGAATCTAAGATAAGAGCTGTTGTGACAGATAACCATTCTACCAATGTTAATGCATTTTTATAGTTTCATAAAGCATATATTGGTGATGGAAAACTATTAATTTATCATTCAGTTTAAAAAAGGAGTGTAAAGAACATACTTATTATTTGATATACTTCGTTTTATAAAAAATGTAAGAAAAAACTTATTAAACCAAAAAAAAAAAAATTATTCGTTTTCATTTGATTTTTCCAGAGACTATGTTAATTTGTTGCTAGTTACATTGCAGGGAATATATTTCTTAAAGTTTATTAAAAGATTAATTATTAAACAGGCAAGTAAAATTAACTATCAAGTCACATATTTTGGAAACAACAAACAAGTTGTCAACATTGATAATATTTGACGAAACAACTGCAGCTGTAATTTAGAGTTATTTTCCTGAAAGAAGTAATGTAACACACTTTTAATCATTATTTTATAAGTTATTTATCATACTTAATTCAAAGCAGAAACTTAATTTATCCAATCAAACTCAGCAACCCTGCTTTAAAAGGTGATAACAAACCTAATAGAGAAATTGCAAATAGTACTGAAATTTAATCAAAATAAAATTTGATAAATACTTCACATTAACCAAAAACAACTTCTTGTGCTCTTATAACAACACTACAAGCAACTGTATCTCTTATGAATGATTTTTTATGAAAACAACTGTTTCTCTTATGAATGATTTTTTTGAGGAAGGCTTTGCAGTTGTTCTTAGTTCTAATTTACAAAGTAATCTTTTGGAGCTAGGTTTTAGTAAGCATAATTAGAAACATGCATTAGTAAAAAGATTTTTGCGGATTTTCCCAAAAAATATTTTATCAGAATTTTGATAATCATTAAAAATATTATGCAAGATTTAGCTTAGTTGTCTACATAATTACTAGTGTCAGCTTTTTAAAAATAGCCCAGATTTATATACTAAAGCAAGGAATAATGGTAAAAATTAACAAAAAGATTTTGATGTTAAATTTATGAATTATAAATGTTACTTTATACAGAGAAGAACCTATATATCCAATTCAACCTGTCTAACTTTATTTGTCTTCTGTTTAGTATTGTATGTTATTTCTCTTATTCAGTTAAAAATTTGCAAAACAAATTTTATAGATTTATTGTAGCAATGACAATTTTACTAATGAAAAGCACCAAAAGTGGGGAATCAAATATAGATCTCAGTGGTGTACACTGGATTTTTAGATGTTTGAGTTTTGACACTAACAGGGATTGTGCAAACTTCAAACTTTTGTATGTTCATGCTTATGTCAAATGCTTATGTCAAATGAGAATATTTTGCAAAGAGTTGCGGTGATTGGAGCTTAGGGACAAAAAAAAACCAATTTTTGGGCCCACCCAGCCCTTAATGTGGTAGCAACAAGTTTATAAAATAATTTCTTTAGTATTTTTATCTAAGTTTATATTCATCAACAAATTTCAAATTTCAAGCAATAATCTCTTATTTTTTGAAAATTATGACCATATAAAGTTTTAACCCCCTCAATTTGAGAGGGCTGTAAACTTTGTAGGGTCATAAAAACTAAACACTAAGAGGTTATTGCATGAAATTTGAAATTTGTTGATGAATATAAACTTAGATAAAAATACTAAAGAAATTATTTTATAAACTTGTTGCTCCCACATTAAAGGCTGGGTGGGCCCAAATATTGGGGGTTTTTTGTTCCCAAGCTCCAATCACCACAACTCTTTGCAAAACATTCTTATTTGACATAAGCATGAACATACAAAAGTTTGGAGTTTGCACAATGCCTGTAAGTGTCAAAATTCAAACATTTAAAAATCCAGTATACACCACTGGATCTCGTATTGATAATAATATTTTTATGACAATTTGCATAAAGAAGTTACATATTCATTGAGTAAAGATCAAGTAAAAAAAATTACAAAAAAGGCAAAGACAAAATTAATATTCCTAGTAAAAAGGTATTTCTTCTTTTAATTTCAATTATAAAAAATACAAAACTACAAACCTTTGATTTTTTTTCAATGAAGAGTTATAGGCAATCTTAGCAACATGTAAGGTTATTTTTAGTAGCATGTTGGTATGTGTTGATAGAGCTATCTGAAAGCCTATTTCAGTATTCTGTGTTATTAGAATAAACTGAAACAGGCGATCAGTTAACAAAAAATTCAGCACAAAATTGTGTAAGTACTCAAATAAAATCTAACTATTATTAAACCATTTTAATAAAATAAGAATAAACCAATTATAGTGCAAACAAGACTCATAACCATAGCGAAAATTAAGTTTTTATACTTGAGCCGTAAAAAAACTGGCCTCTTAATTTTTTACGTAAAATGCAACAAATCAGGCCGTGTAGTTTAAGTAGGCCATGGTTACAGGTAAGGAAAGTTTTCAAAATTATTAATTATAGTGTGACAAGGATCATTGCTTTTAATCTAAAACTTCGAATTATTGAGACCTACCAGATTTTTTCAAAAGTCTGGTAGGTCAGTCATCTCCATAAACTATGTTCGTATGTTTTGGTAAATTTTTATTTAAGCTCTTTTTATGTTTACAAAATTGTTACATTTTTCCTCTACAATTAATGTTAACTTATATTAATAAAATTTTTTATTTTCTACAACATTTTTTTTATGAATTTTAACTCCAGTAAAACGTTTATTCAATCTCAGTCTCATTTTTTAGTTATAATGTTAAAATAAAGTTTGATAACGAACACATCGTCACATAATAAAGCTCACTGAACCTTTACTGTTTGTATACTTTAAATATACTTTAAATACTCGAATGTTAGCCTCGTCCTTGTCCTACTCCTCAGGAAATTTACTACTTGTCAGGAGTAAATTGGTAACAGCAAAAAATACTGGTATTATTTATAGACATTTTTTTAGTATAATTGATGAATTGAACCATGAAGTAGATCAAACTGACTCAAGACTACAAACAGTTCTTGTGCGAGTTGAAAAAATGCTAAAGTTAGCAGATGGTATGTTAAATATTAGTTTTTGAAATAAATTTTGATAGTTTCAACTTTAAAGGTTTTTAAAATATAAGTTTTATCATAACTGGTTTACACTTGTTATTACTGGGTTTTTTTTTCAGACAAGAAACAGACTTACGTTTTGATCGCTTTAATTTTGATGTGCCTCGTTGTTGTCATACTTTTTGTTGCAATTTGATAACAAAAGTATTTTATTCGAAATTAAAAATTGTGATTATGAGATAAATTCAATAGTATTTACCTTTAAGTGACGAATGTGTTATCTGATATAAAAGTAGAAAATAGAAATGAAAAGTTTATCAGTATTAGAGATGTCAACAATTATGTAGAGTGATTTTGGTTCTTCGCAATGTCATTTTTTAACACAATTGTAAATGTTATTTGTATATAAATTATATTTATGAATAATACATCATCAACGGTTTAAAAAAACTATTTTTTAAAAATTATTTTATGACGTGATGTCTTTTGTTTTTTAAATTTTTTTAACGTATATTAATTTAACTCTGTGTATATTTGCACATTTACAGTAAAATATAACACTATTGTCGCTAAAAATTGTTTTTTTTTCAAACACCAATTAACAAAGAAATTTTATTGTTGTATATATTTTTGCAAATTATAGTAGTATCAAAACCGCGTATTTAAATACGCAAACTAATAATTTTCAAAAACTGAGGCTCAGTTTTTGAAAATTATTTTCTCTTCCTTTATATAATGGAGAAAAAAAATTTCAAAAATTAGGACACCCTACCTCACCAAATTTTCTGAATGTTTGCTCATGTTCGGAGACATAACTTAGGAAAGACTAAGTTTTTTTAAATAAAATTCTTATCTGTTTAGGTCAGTCATAATCTAACAAAATTTAAGTTACTGTATACATACTGTAAGTTAATACTGTATACAGTATGTATACTTACAGTATGTTACAGTATGTATACTTACAGTATGTATACTGTAAGTATACATAGTGTAAGTTATTTAAGTTACTGTATACATTAAGTTACTGTATACCATACAGCAACTTAAGGTTTGTTAGATTTTGACTGAAAAATTGAAAGGGGTTGGGGGGGGAGAGAGTTTGCCAGAAATTTTTTCGTTTACTATTACCCTTATAAGGATTGATTTATAAAAGTAGTATGCGTGTAATGGGATTTAAAATTTGACTGATTTTTTACTAAATATTGTTCAATAAATTTATAAATTTGTTACTTGTTATTTTCATTAAATAATAGTTATGCCATTTGCATATATATTTTCATTTGTAATAATTGTTTTACTGTAATAAAATAGTAATTATTTCATTGATATAATAAGTAATAAAATGACATATGTACATTTATTATTACAGTACATAATAATCTCCAATAAATTTACCTCCTTTTTTTTTTTTACGATATATGATATACAATATATACGAGATATGAGAATAATCAGAAAAGTTACTGTATTCCATTTCTGACGTACCAAAAGGTAAGGTAAAATAAGGTAAAATTTATATACTTATATTTTGATTGGTATTCTTAACAGATTGTTTATAATTTTTTTCGGTAATAAGATTTGTTCATTGTTTTATAATAATTTAAATAATGTTATAGTATTTAAGTAATATAACTAAATTACTTGAATATTTTTACATTTTCTTTTCATCATCTCTACGTTTGATTATAATCCGTTATGTGTTAGAAGCAGGTTTAAATCTTATACCTGGTAGGTAGGTAAGGCTAAAATCTTATACCTTGAAAAAAGTTGTGTCCAATCTGTCGAAGTAAAGTTATGAAACGTTAACCAAAAAGCTTGAATGGAAATAAAAATGATGAATATTTTGATATTGTTAATAAAACATAATATTTTGATATTTTAGCCATGCCTAATACTGAATTAAGAAAAAGCACTTTCTGATGTAACAGTTCAACGAATCAAGTCTTTTTACAAAGGTGATAAACAGCCGTAAAATACCTTGTAAAAAGGACTATGCAGCATAAAGAAAAATGTCCACATGTTTGCTCTCACGTAATTTAAAGGAATTGTTTGTTGCTTTCCAAACCAAGAACCCAGAAATAAAAATAGGATTTTCGAGGTTTTACACATTGCAACCAAAATGGTATATTACTGTTGGTGCTTCAGGAACTCATTGCGTATGCGTATGTCAGAGTTTAAAACTTCTTTTACATCCTTTTTGTGCGAATGTATGTGACATAACTATTATAGACTGTATGATGCGGAAATGTAAAAAATGCCCAGCAACTATGAATGCATTGATTGAAAATCTTTATTTAATTGGAGAGTTTGAAGATGATAATGAAGTAGAATTTGATCAGTAGACAACAACAGATAGGTCAAATTTAAAACATAATAAAGAACCAATGTTTAAATACATAGGACTAGTATGTAAAAAACTGACAAAACTTGCACCACAGTTGTATTTAGCTGAGTCAAGCATCATACCTGAGATCAAGAAAGGAAGATATAAATGAGGTAACAGCATTATTTTTTGGTGATTTTTCACATAAATATAAATTTGTAGTTCAGGACGAGGTACAAAGCTTTAATTGGACAAATTTACATTGTACACTAAATCTTACGATTATTTATTTTAAAAAAGAAGGTATTTTCAAGCACAAACTTTATTGTGTTGTTTCAGATGATATGATGCATGTGAAAATGGTTAATGAAATTTTTGAGGTTGTCAGCAAATTTGTTAAAACAAATCTACCTTGAATAAAAAATATTGAATACTTTTCAGACGGCTGTGTAGGTCAATATAAGAATTGCAAAAATATTTTGAACCTTTGTTTCTATTTTGAGGATTTTAGACTTGCTAAATGAAACTTTTTTGCCACTAGTCACGGTAATCAACCTTGTGATGGGATAGGTACAGTCCCGTCACTGGTTTTTATAATATCACAAAATTTTGTTTCTATATCAAACCTCAATAACTCCTCAAGTAAACGTAAGGCCAAAAGAAAATTGGTTAGTAAAGTTTATCTTTTTCTTTTCTTTATCTTTTTATCAGTCAGATTGTTTTTATTACTATATTTGTCAATGCCTCTTTTATTGCCATTATAAAGTGCATTTTATGGATCTTAAAATCAATTACATTGCCTCCTTTTGAGAAATACAAAACTAAAATTTTTATATTTAGTTGGTTTTAAACTCTTTTGGTACTAAATTTCAGCATCGCAGCTTTACTGCAAGCACCTTTCTAAGGGAAATAGTAAATGGAAACATTTTCGGCGCTTTACCCCCTCAATTTCAGTCAACATCAAATTTAAATTGCTGTAAATTATGTACCATCAGAAATATGCAATACGCGTAATATATTTTTCAAATCGTTTTTTAAACACAAAACCTTTATTTAAAGAATGAATATTTCAAAAGCTTATAAAATAACCATTATGTTTTATCTATTTGTTATTTAACCCATTATTAAATGTTTCTAAAGATCTATATATCCTTAAAGCAAAGATTAAATATAGTTTGTAAAATAATAACTATTTCAACAAACTCTTTTGTCGAACAAAGTTTAAACGCTTTTGCATAACTTATCGAGTACCTTATCTTCGGAATAAAATTGTTTGATTTTTGCGTCTAAGATTTTAAATTTGTTAAAAAAAACTTTTTTTACGCGCAGCTTTGACGCAAACAATGCGTGGTCACTCGTTCATGCGCGCGTTAAAGTTGACTATACGCGTACGCATTAATTTTTTTAAAGTTTTTAAAATCTTTATACCAAACACAGTATCTTGATATATTCAGGGTTGCCACTCAACCTGGAATACCTGGAAATAGCATGAATCCCAGGAAAAACCTGGAAAACTCAGGGATTTTTCAAAAATTTTATAAAATTCAAGGAAAACTCAGGAAAAATAATTTTTTTTTTTTTGAAATTTTGTACAAAACTATTTTTTTTTAAAATTATTTTGCTCATAAATATGATAATAAGTTAGCAAAATGCGTGTGTTGTTGTAAAAGTTTTTCAAATATAAAGATTGTGTTTAATTAAGGGAAATAATAATCACGTTAATGAACCGGAAAGAATATAGAAAAGTCAGGGAAAAGTCAGGGAACTTAAAAAACTCAACTCAGGGAAAAAGGTTCTTTAGGGAATGCTCAGGGAAAACTTAGAGAAAAACTTTAAAAATTATAGTGTACATAACTCTATTTGATATTTTTTTAAAAATGATTTTTAAAGGATATTGATACGTAGAGAAAAAAATTTATTATTACATTTATTTTATTATTTACATTACAATTATTTTAACAACTTTATAGTTCACCAATTTGTAAAACATCAAATTGAAACTAAGTTTAGAACTTTTTTTTTGTTTTGTTTACATTAATTAACTTTTTATTTTGTTTACAATAAATCAGCCGAATGGAATAATCTACCACATATCACTTCTCCTATACAATTCCAAATGCCTCGATGTTTTGCTTTCATCGAGGAAATACAATTTTATAATATCTATGTGTATAAAAAAATATTTTAAATTTAAATTATTTTGATAAAAAAATGCATGCTCTTTAGGATAATTTTTAATCTATTTTTTATTTTCTATTTAACAAGTTATTGCACAATTAAGAGCGTCACGGCCTGACAAACCAATGTCACGTTGTGACGCGCGTATTTTTAGCTATATTTGTAAAAATATATGAAAAGTTTCGAGGTTTTTTTCATTTTAAAAATCTAGAGTAGAGCGGGGCATTTCGGGACAGAGGGGCATAACGGGACAGTTTTGCCTGAAGCTTTATATCTCAACTATAAGTAATTTTTTTTCAAAACTTTTTTTTGATAAAACATTTTAAATTATTGTGTTTCATTATTGTAAAAAAATATTTAAATTTAGATATACCAAAATGCATTAAAAGTACCAAAATGCATCAGTAAGTTTGCGTAAAACAAAATTTGAGTATTTTCTTAAGCGATTCAGCGTCAAAAGAATTATCTTGAACTCTTGCAAATTTGCTTTATTTATAAAAAGTTTATATTTTTCAGACAGTATTTTTTATCCTCTTTTAAAATCTGGTTTTAAAAAAACATTTGGAATTGAACTTTTTGTTTCAGTAAAATGACTTTTGCGGGGCATATCGGGACAAAAAAGTATTTATATAATTGAGTGTTACTACTATTTCACGATGTTTACAGTTTCATGATTTTATTTTTAATCTAAAATATTTTATTTTTATTTTAGAAAAACAAAGAAATTCTTTTTATATTTTGTTTTTATAACTTAAATTCGATTATTAATGGTGTTTATTGTAAACAAAAAAAGTAGGGAATTATATAAGAAAGGCCAATCATCCAAAACGGGATGAAATTCAGTTTTAGGTGTGAGTAAACAGAAACTTAGAATTAGAAAAGCTACTAATACATATGGCATATTTAAGTTTGCTCTACATTGGCATATTGCTAAATAGCCAGCTCATCAAAATGTTGCCGAACAGTTTCAGAATACTTTTTGTGTGATTTATGTAATCCATAAAATATTTTGTTTAATTTCAAATTTAGTAGCAGTTACCAATTTAATAATATATAGGTTAGAGTCGAGCGGAGG